TCGTTGTCCTGGATTCCACTGCTAACTACCATGCACCTGTGGTGAGAGCTGGATGCTAGCCAAAGTTGGTAGACAGTAACTGACGTCAATGTTTATGTCCCCAATATTGGTGGTGAGAAAATGAGAACAAAGGCTTTGCGTAGGCGGATACAATTAGCATATGGCTGACCTGACACAGCCACAAAGAGATGCAAGTTTAACTTTCTGTGAGAAACAACCAATCGAAAGACTGTATTTTCTACTAACAATAATCTACAATAATGTACATTAAAATCTTTCCTTAATAAACGATCTGTTGCCTGGCCCTTGTCTTCTGTTGCTACACACCAATTTACTTCAAAGCAGTTACTATTATTATTGTTATTATATTAACAACCTCAGTAATTAGAATTTAATTGGTGGACGGTGACTAGCAGTGGAATCCAGGATAATGCGCATTTCGTCCTATTTGGGACTCGTCAGCCGGTGGATATACCTGCATCTCTCAGTGAGTGATGATGTTCCCACGGAGCCTCGAACCCAGTACCCATAGTTTCAAACTCCGAAGCATTATCCACTAGACTACTTGGGTCACGAGAGCCACCTCTTGTGCAACGGGTCATACTAATTTTAAATGAATTTTAGATTTACCCGTCGAATTCTAATTAAATGCCCAGATATCGTCGAAGCATCTGCACAAGAAGCCGACAGACATGTCAGCCTGAGAGCGAGCACTTCAGTCCAATCAATCGACGGGAAAATCTAAAATTAAATTAAAACCCCAGTTATTAGTGATTTTCCTAATCAGACTAGAATCCACCTTTCATTGTTTCAAACGTCGATGTAATATCCACTAGAGCACTGAACTAGAGTACAGTAACCAGATTTTGTTTAGCGGTTATGATTTGAAATGATCTATTCATACCAAAACCGAGTCTGATCCATTCAGTCTTGATATATGATGGACATGAAATCATAAGTATGAATAGAGTTCATTCTGGTCTTTATCAAGTGAATGGACAATCGTAATTATAATTCAATATACCAAAAAAATATTCATTCAGACCATCAGAAAAAAAATGAGCAACGTCTATACTTTTCGATAATTTCTTCTTCTGGCTCTACAATTATATATTTGTTTATAAACATAGAATATTCTAGAATAGTTGTCAATAACAATATTGGTGTTTTTTAGATAATATCAATTTGTTAAGTAAGATCACAATGGAATTACCACAGTTCACGAAAGATGCATAAATTATAATAAGCATAAAAATGTAATATAGTAAATAGAATATCATATAAAATTAAGGAAATTTCCACAACAAATTGAGGATCATCAGGGCCTTGATGACCAAGGTAAAGACAGTGTCTGAACCAACTTCTTCTTTTGGATACATATGTTGGGTTTCTCACTGTAGATCCCAACAGCCTCAGTAATATGTGTGAGTTTACTCTGTTGTTCTCTCTTGTGTTTTGTTTCTAGTCCATCAATGCTTCCAAGAGAAGTCTGAATTCCACCCCTTTGCCTAATTACTGTGAAAAGTAGTTACTCTTTTAACACACTAAATAATTGTCTACTTACATCATCTTTGAAATTATGCTGCCTATAAATTTCTGTCTACAGCTTGAAATCCTTGTTAAAAGTATGTTCAGACACCATCTTGTAACATATCACTTGATTTTGTTTAGGATGTGCGCAGTTGAAGAGAGAGAATCCACGAAATAAAACGAGCTGATATTATCTTGTAAAAAAAAGTTTGTTCTTACTCTATTCAACGAAAAAGTTTTTACTTCATATTTTCAGATATGTCTAATTTAAGTTAGCGCTTCTTAATGGTTGACTGCTGAAGTCCAATGCCAAATAACGGTGCATTATTATCATCATTAATTCATCGATCCATCCATCCATCCAACATGGGGTCTCACCAGCACATCTCCATTGTACTACGTTCTCTGAAGTACATTTTTTAGCTGTCGTTCCTTTTTCATATGATTTCCTCCAGTTCGACATCTGACGAGCAAATTATCGCCTCTTACTTGGGTTCTATCTACCCTAGGGTTTGACGTATGATATCTTACTGTGGGACTCTTCAGCGGTACGTAATAATCGAACCCAAGATGTCAAGGAACTTAGCCCTAAGTTCCTATTGTAACGAAGACGCTTTGAACCGATAAAGACTATGTACTTGTCCCAACTTTAAATCCAAAACACCAGTATTCTTTAAACGAATTTATATCGTTTGGCAATTAAATCAAGATAAAATACAAGTCTACAAACAAATGTTCAGTAAAAATAAAATTATAAAGTACTTTTATTCGTATTTATCTGTCGTCTTCGAACTTGCACACGATCGAGCCATTTGCGCCTTTGAGTTGCTCGCCAATGGTGACCAAGGTCAATGAACCAACGTTCAATGTTCATATTCCTTGACAAAAGATCTTTAGGTTACAAGGCAGGACAAATGGATTCCGTCCTAGAGACTGAATGGTCAGCAGTCTCAGCTGGTAAGTAGAAATTTCTGTGCTCCATCCTGCTGTTAATTCCCCTAACTGATATTACCTTGTGACCAGATGTGAAACAAGTAAAATCTCTACAAACTAACTTTTTAGAATGAATCCGATTCTAACTAGTAGCTGATTACACGACGAATTGTCTTTGTGTTCCAGTAAGAAGTAGTAATTAATAGGATACAACAAGTCAGGTGTGAAGACAAATGATCGCTGATGACATCGGCTGGTAGCCACGCGAAAAAATCCCGAACTGATAAAAGTTGGAATTTATGGGCTCGTCACTGGATTCCATTCCAGTGGTGGAAATGTCTACGAGGTTGTTTTGCGATCGGAAGTTTCTGAGTTCTAATTCTGGCGGTGGATGCATGCTGATCGGGTAGTTTTTAAATCAGGACGAAACAGGTGTCCACTATTTCTTACTGCTTTTCCAGTGGTTCTCTAACTGATATTACCTCGTGATCAAAGTTGAATGAAACATATTTTATCGGGAAGATTTTGTTAGTACTAAGGATAAAACAAAGGCAATAACCCAAGTACTAAGTATATTGTATTTAATTATTATTGTTCCCTCGAGCTTCCTTACATTGTTCTATTTTCTGCTATCCTTTGCAGCCGGGTTCATGATTAACCAGAATCTGTCAGCTCCTCCAACTCGCACGATCTACTCCTCTATGTCACCCTCCCACCGACAAACCACTCATCGTTTACAATTCATCTTCTACTCGAGCGATGGCCTCGCTAACGTGCGATGTCAGTCAACGGTCTCTTCAACACTTTCCCAACACATTTCGATTTTCTTCTGCATATATGTTGGGTGATACGTTCTTGGTCAGTTTGTTCCCATAGTTTCTTGTTACCGATTCCTTCTGGCCATTTGATCTTCAATATGAAGCTAGCGAAGGCGGTAGCTGTTGATAAAATTCTACACTGGCATGTTGGAAATGCTTTTCGTGACTCGTGTGCCAAGTTTCTGACCCATATAGAAGCAATGACTGACTTCACATTTCTGTTGGAAATCCAAATCTTGTTCGTTCTGCTGAGTGTTGTAGATTTCCAAACTGGTTTCAGGTTGGTTGATGAAGGTGTACCTTGTCTTTTATAATCCTGGTTAACTTTGACAACTGCATCTATTCCTCCTGTAGTTGAAACTATGCTTCCTAGATAACTCAAAGAAGTGACATTTTTTAAGTTTCTGTCATTGATGTTGACTGGTGGTGCTTGTTGTTATTAGTTAGTTATCTACATCATCTCCGTATTCTCCACGTTCACCTGAACTCCTATTTTTACCGCCCGCCTCTTCTGAAAACCTACTGGTATTCACCTTCAGGTCATCCGCAAATTTCAGATCTTCTAGAGTATTCTTATCGGTCAGTCCAACTTATTTCTGTCTTCTCGCTCCCCAAGCACAGTGTGCTGCATAATCGAATCGACCACAATTAGGAATATCATCGGTGACAATAGACTGCTTTGTCTTAACCCTGTATTCACCTCAAAGGCTTCTCTGAGTTTAGAACATGACATATCCCTTTAAAATGACGAAGTCATTTTATTACAGTGATGAATTAATCCCAAATGCATTCGTGTATAAATCTAACCAATTATGATAAAAGAAATTATTGACTAGCTTTTATTTCTTTCAGTTCTTCGCTTCACTAAGTACTGACGTATGTTTCGTCATACACCAGTGGAAACCAAGCAGTATTGAACATCTAAAGTTCTAGTGAGAAATCATCACCAACGAGGTCTACAATATCAGGGTGAAGTGGATTCTAATCGACAGTACTATTTGAAGATAGCGCTTCATCGCTAATCGACAGAGAAGTTAGACTTCATGGGCTGGTCATTAACTTACCCTTTCCAATGACTGAATGGCATACAATGGTATTCGGCTAGTGATCTGAAGATCTTGGGTTCTATCTCTGGTTGAGCGATAATGGGATCGTTCGGATGGAGAGTCACAAACAAGGACGAAACATCTATCCGATACACCCTAGTTTTCGATGGTTCCCTAACTGAAGTCCATTCGAGGTCAAAGATGAAAACAGTGTTTTTTGTTAAGAATTCTCTAAATATTCAGACCACAATTAGTCTACCATTATTTTACCCTGATTCATTATAATTATTATTTTTTAAAGAAAATAATCAATAAAATAAAATTTAAGACTTAAAAACCACTATCAGGATGTTTCAACATTTACAAAAATCAAATTATACTACTTAAATGTCAATAAGTAGGTATAATAATTCTTGAAAAAATTGTTCTTTTTTACTTTGAACTACAAATGCAATAGTTGACTAGTTGTCATTATAATTTCAGTCCATTACGTAATCTTCAAATTTCTGAATGTTTCAGGCATCATTAAATCAGATACTTAAGTAGATAGATAGACTGATATTGAGATTAAAATGCACTGAAGGGATAAACTTGTGATTCATACTAGAAATAATACGCGATTCATCTAACTGACTGATATGAGTAGTATCTAACTACTCGAATTAGTCACTCATTAAGTAGTATGTAGTATTGATTTCAAATTATCATTTGATAAATGTAAGTATGATTGATTGAATTCGTCTGATGTGCATGCCTCTCTTACTGCATACATCTCATGGGCGTGATGATTACGGCTAGGGATAGCGTTGACACTATCACTGTTTATACTCACATTATTGTTATTATCATGCATATAATGATACTCATATTGATTATTATGATAATTATAATGGTAATAAGGATAGTTTTTGTTGTCAGTATTCTTATTATGTTGATGAATATTGAAATAATCAGTTGTCCAATCCCATTCACCATAAAACAACTGATTTGAATTTTGACCCGATGAATATTCTCGTTTTACTGAAGAAGTTATTGGATATAAATTAGATAATTGATCATGCTCTAAATTCTGTTCATTTTCTACAGCAAAATTTAAGTTTCCGCCAAAACGACTATTGTACCGCATAGAAGATATTTGATGTTGGACATTGAACGATTGAATATTTCTCTGCCAATCATAGTTTATTTGCTTGATTTCTATTTGTAATTCTGCTTTCATACTACTTTGATTTTGTTTATTTGATTTATTATTATTGTTATTTGTGGATTTATCCAACTTTTGACAGGAAGGTTTAATGGTATTTTCAGCATTGATAAAGGTAGTACTATCTGCCTGATGTTGTGCATCGGTTATTTCGACGGATTTATCACGTTGCCTGTGATTTTTGAACCAATTACAAACCTAAACGATAGATAACAAAATAACGTAATAAAAGTAAAGAAAACAGGGAAGTATTGATTTTGACTGAAGTACCACAGCGTGCTCGACAATCAAGCCTATTGGGTTTAATTCCTAGCTTCTTACTTACTCGGAAACTTCGATTAGCCGGCAGTAGTCAGCCTGGTAAAATGGGAAGGTTGGAAGTGTGGTGGGGCTACCATGCCCACGCAACCCCCCTCCCGCACACCTAAAAATACAACCACTGCTATTGAAACTTCTAAGCTCAGATTTGAAGCTCTCCTATGTTCCACTGGGAGCTCGAGGGAATAAAACAAATAAAAAGGGTATTTTCATCGATGAGTTTGTTGATATATATTCACTGTCATATAGGTGACGATATAATACTACAAATGAATTGTGGGTTCGGTAATGAAAAGCAACGGGTAAGTCAACTAATGACCGCATATTTATTACTTATCAATCCAACCAACCAACCAACCAATCCCCATCCACCCTGCTTAACCCACAAAAATGGAAATAGAAAACAAACTGGTCCGTGTTGGCGAGAACAATTCGGCTTTACTATGTTATGAATATTACATTCCTCAGAAAGTTAATCCAATAATTGACCAATCATATTGGTCATATAAAGTTGGGCTTTGATTGGACACTAGTTATTAACTAGTGTAATGTATTTAATCCTTTCTTAGGTGCAGACTGAATGCTATCAGTCAAGTTTGCAATGTATCCACGATGCTATGTGCCTTTCCAGCACGGTGCACTTTGAATTTTTCATATTAGATGGCTGGGCTTCTAGGTTGTCCAGTAGCATATATATAAAGGCTCCACACCAATGTCAAGTCGGTCCTTCTATACGGGTCAGAAAATTGGCGTTGGTATCACAAAAAGCATTTGCAACAGGTTGCAGACTTTCATCAACAGCTGCCCACTTCGCTGGCTGGCTGGCTGGCTGGCTCCATATTGAAGATCAAATAGCCAGTAAGAAAGAATTAGTAACAAGAAACTCTGGAACAAACCAGCAAGCAAGAGCCGGTTGCTCAACAAATATTTCGGAGAAAATGGAGATGAATTGATGGGGCGTACGTTGAGGAGGCCATCGAATGACATCGTGCGCGATGCAAGCCATCACTCGAATTGAATCCAAGTGGGAAGCGACGACTGGATCGTCACTACAAGGGTGACATGGAGGAGGTCGTGTCAGGAGGGGATGAGAGATTGGGTAGTCGTGGACCCAGCTGAAGAGGATGGCAGAAAATAGGAGAAAGTGGAGATGTGTTGTTGAAGCCCTATGTTCCACTTGGAAACCAAGGGAAAAATAATAATTATAATATATAAAGGCGTTCAGTGATATCATTCTCAAGCTGTACAATTGCATTTATATAGTAAATTGTCTTAGTGACAAAATGGATATTTCCAAAGATTTGTCATTAGGATTGTAAATTTTAGATAACAAATTACATAATGTAGAAGACGTTAATCGGTTAGAAACTGGACTGAGATTAAATAAGCAAGTTGGGTGACATAATCAAAGTTAATTGGTGGATGGTAACTAGCAATGGAATCCAGATGACGAGTCCCAAATAAGACGAAATGCGCATCCCGGATTCCACTGCTAGTCACCATCCAACAACTGATAACTGGAAAGTGTTTGATTCGTTTATTTATGGCGTAATTTTCTGAGGTTTTATAGAAATGATATATATATATATATAACCTGTATTTTGTCTAATAAAGGTCATTATTTTCATTCCGGTCGTCATTTTTTCCAGTCTGGTATTTTATGTGGCAGATAATTTCAAGTAATCAGTCGGTTAAGGTTTCGTGTTCTGGAGGAGCATTCTAGTCAGTGTAGACGAATCCACAATCCAATATCACTCCTTCATGACAAAGACAATAACAGTAAAAGAAAATTAGATCAGTAGCATTATACGAGATAAATTACATCAGATGGACAGAGGAGGCGTCCCTTCTGATTTCTCATTGAAGAACATAAACTAGACGTCAAGCGACACGACATATATTCCTTCATATGGATACATTTAGATAGCTGTGAACACCGGCTGGACAGGGAAAAATGTGAAAATTTTAATCAGAGGAAATACTGAAAATGTCTGGGGTCTCTTAGAAACCAGATATTCAGATCAATCTTCACTCAACAGATATGTTGGAATAGATCATCCAAAAAAGAAGCGGTCACTTGATGTTCAGATCATTAGAAATCGTTCAAACTCTAGACTAACTAATTCATATGAAATGAAAAATAAATTAAATGACATTCAACTAGGGAATGATGAAACAATGGTTAGTTTTGATATAACTAGTCTTTATACTAATATAACAGTCAATATGGCCTTAGAAGCAGTTAAAAAAGAACTAACTGCGGATCCTGAACTCAATCATAGGACAAAGCTGTCCATTGAAGAAATTATTTTAGGGATTCAGTTATGCTTCACATCTACTATCTTTAAATTCCAAGGCAAAATCTATAGACAAACAGAAGGCGTAGCAATGGGATCACCAATATCCCCTATTGTAGCAGATATATTTATGGACAGCTGGGAGAATATTGCTCTTAATACATTTAATCCTACTCGAAAAATATGGCGGAGAAATGTGGATGACACTTTCACAGTGTTAAAAACAGAACATATCTCTAGATTCTTGACACACGTATAAACTCACTAGTGGAGGGAATAAAATTCACATTTGAATAGGAAAATGAACAAGGAGAATCAACTATGTTAGATTGTAAAATGAAACGAATAGAAGAAGGTAGACTGCACACTAGTGTTTATAGAAAACCAACTCACTCTAATAGATATTTAGACTTTAATTCATCTCATCCATTAACTGTTAAGGCAGGCTTAGTTAAGTGTCTAACAAACCGAGCAGCAGCACTAAGTAGTACAAGAAAAGACCTAAATAATGAAATAAAACAGATAGAAGAATGGCTGGTTGGTGTTAAATAACGAACTATCCTATAAAATTCATTACGAAGATCAGAAACGGACAAAAGCAAAATAAAAATAATTGTGAATCTAGTTATTATAACATAAATAAGAAAGAATATAAGGCATATACTGTTATACCATATAAGGAGGGGACACCTGAGGCCTTCCCTACGTAGGATTCTTAACAAAGCAGGAATTAGAGTGACATTTAATCCCACAAACTCACTCAGGTAGGACAAGCTCTGTAGGTTAAGTTAAAAGACCCTGTCGGTTGACCCAATTAGATAAAATAATATAATTTACAAAATACCTTGCAATGACTGTGAGTCAAGTCAATTACATAGGTCAGACTAGTAGGTCTGGGGTAGTCAGATTATCAGAACATAAGAATTTAGCTAACGGAAGAATGGTTGACCCTGAAAAGATAAGTAATTTAGAAAAAAGCTTAGCACTGCATTACACTGCATGCACTAACACACAACCACACAATAGGGTAGGTGGTAGAGGGTTAAAATTCTGAAAAGTAATATAAGTAGGTGGAGAGGAGATAGAGTTTGATTACTGAATCCTGCCTGGTTCATCGAGTCTGCACCCAACACATACACAATAGAAGTGACTCAATGCAAATACCAGAGATATGCATGGACGATATTATTACCACCAGTCAAATCAGAGAAGGATAATAAATAATCTTGATATTTTATTTCAGTTCACATACATCACAACATTCTAACAAGTTACTTATTTATTTTGACTATAAAAACACTCGTCTTATTTCCCATGTGATTGTATTTGATCAATAACACTCATATTCTTATTTCTGAATGTACATTATCCTACATTGATTTGTATTCAAATGTTTATTCATCAATTCCACACATGTATATAAATGAAGTAAAAGTTTGTGTGAGTGAGTGACTTGATATGATTATGAGTGGCAATAGTTTGTGCTCGAATTGTGGTCATCAGTAAATATTGCTGTACAACACTGTGTCTTACTTTATCAAAATAAAATCTTATCCATAATGGAGTTATGTTCTACCACAGTGCCCAAGTTTCATACTTATATCAATGATGTTCAGATCACCTAGATCTGATTTGCAAGTGATCTATTTCTAAATAGATGCCTTTCAGGTATAAAGAGATACAAAATTAAGAAGGATATCGATTAAAAACAACTGTTCAGACTATGGGATTAGTGGGGGGGGGGGGGATTTGCGTTAATTAAATCTCAACTGTTAGATTTCGTTGTGAACCAACATCATTTAGATAGAGAGATCATTGAAAGAATCGGAAGAACTGGATGGCTGCTGCTTCATTCTACTTCGGGACTATTTCAATAATTCACACGCGATCAGGAGTCGAACCGGGTAATGAGATCAAGCTTATTGACCGTGCAGACACTTGGACCAGGATGACAAAATCTATCGATTGAGATCCATAATCTAAATATATCAATCTCCAGCTGATTGATGGCTACTGGTTACATGTCAAGAGGCTGTACTGAGAAGTCGTGGCCAGTGGAGTCCGCCTTATCAAGGCGAAGTGGGTGTACATTGAAAGCACTGGTTGGGCGTAGCACTATGTCATAAATTGACAAAGTTAGAATTGGTTGGGGGGAGATTTCATAAAGAACTGACATTGGTTAGAGAACCATTGGAAAACCTTCAGGGAGTATTGAACAACTGAACACAATATAGAGAAACTGACAACAGTTAAAAAGAAGCAACTGTTCATGAAATTGCAATTTAGTACAGACGTGGCTAGTGAAGTCTTACATCTAAGAGCAATAAAAGGGACTTATACTGTCGCCACCCCTTGTTTGTCATTTTCCAGCTGCCGACCAATTATGATTCCTCAAGCGAAAGACAAGCTGCCTAGCTGTGTCACTTCTATGTGTATCTACAAACTTAGCTGCTCCTGCGGAGAAAGCTATATAGGGTGAACAACTAGGCAGCTTAACAAATTTATTATTATGCCTCTTCCTTCATGGTTCGGAAAAGGCCAAATAAAATCTATAAGAAGTTCTATTTTGACTCATTTGATTGA